GGGGGGTGTGTCTACTGAATGCAACGATATGAAAGTATTTTCGCTGAAAGTAATAAACTAAACGATTTTCCCGCAGCCATTGATGGAAAATGTGCGTCACAAAAGCCTCCAAATTCGTTCGAATAGATTTAAAATTTCAAAAAGTTACCGGGGGAGGCCCCCTAAAGGTAGAGGGACCAAGCTCTCCCCTAGAAAAATGACCTACACTGAAAAAAAAATCTCGGTGTTTTTACTAAAAAAGGGTAAAATTACCAAGAATTCAGGATTCTATTTGATCCCAGTTTTCTCTTGGTAAAATTACCATTTATGGAATTGGTAAGTTTACCGAGAAATCTCGGTAAAATTATTGACTTTCTCGGTAATTTTACTGGACCTCGGTAAAAACGCCAATATTGTTTATCGACTGTGGTAGAATTACCGAGATAAAATGGCAAAGTTACCGGAAATTGATTACCAATAAAAGTGGTATTCTTACGTGAGAAAAACAGTAAAAATACCGGTTTTTAGGTAAGCTTACCAGTCTGTCTTGGTAAAATTACCGATAATTGGTAAAAAAAAGTGAGATGGTAAAGGTACCAACGGACCTTGGTAAAAACGCCGATGATTTTTTTTCAGTGTACGTACATCTCTGCGTCTCGCAGATCTTTGATTGCCACCGGGCGATTCTCAGGAGCGCGAAGCGCTCATCGAGGGGTAGGCCGCGCAGCGGCCAAGATGAACCCCATAGTAAATTCTATGCTGTCTGTATCTCGACAAACGGGGCGGACGAGTGAGATATGGGAAGCTCGGATTGAAAACGGAAAGCGACGAGGCGTAAAATCGATGCACCGGGAAACTGGGTCTGGCCTGGAGCGTGCAGCTGAGCTGCAGCTCTGCAAGTCGGGAATGCCGAGCGGAGCAGCCGAGCATAAACTCGGGATCAATACCGACGACCGACGCTGGTCCTTGGAGGTCGCCGCGACTCCGAGCCCCGTCGTCGCGACGCGAGTCGCCCGCTCGGGCCCGCCGTCGCTCCCGGAAACGGGCCAAATTTCAGGGACACCCGGGAAAAATATTTTTCGGATTTGTAGTGTTAGTAGGTCAGGCAAACGTTGGAGGGTTGGGGGTGAGAAGTACTTTGGAAGTTGGGAAATTTTGACACTTGACCTTGAATGTCGCGTTTCGGAGGTCGCGAGAGGATACGAGTTCTTTGAAAGTCAGAACATTTCGTCGTTCGGACTTGAATTTCCATGTTTCGTTGGAAAACCTTGAGAAGATCCATTTCTCGCACCCTTTAAAACTTGAAGGGAGTCCAGAAAATTTTTTGTCAAAAACTTTGGAAATTGAAGGGAAAGTCATAAAAGTTTGAAATTTGCGGCAACTTGTATCTTCATGAGAAGTCGACATCTCATTCGAAAATGTATAGTTGTTTAAAGATTCGGGGTGAATAATTCTTGGAAATTCGGGTAATTTTGCCCGTTGACCTTGAATTTGCATGTTTTGTCGGAACCTGAAGCACAGAGAGAAAACTCAACGCAAAAGTTTGGTTAATAGGGGAAGTAAAACACAAAATAACCCAAGCCGTTGGTTGACTCTCGGGTTAGTGAGTCTCATTCTCCGCAAAATATACCAAAATTAACACAAAATTTGGGTTGATTTGTGTTTCACTTCCTAAATGTATGAACCAAAAGTAACACAAGAACACACATATTTTCATCAGTGAGCGAAGAAGTTTCATTCCCAACATCCTTGGAGCCTGAGAAAATTTAGTAAATTGTTTTGCCCAAAACTTCGGGGAGTCAGGAAACGTTAAAATTTAAGGAAACTTCATCGCTGGGCAACCAGGCACACTACCGGAAACGGCACCGCGAAAAAAACATTTTTCAAACTTTCGGCAATGGGTCAGAAGGGAGTAAGGACTCGGTTCTTTTCCGGAGATCGGATTGAAAAGTGCTGGAAAAGTCCAGAAATGTTCACTCGCGGTAAAACAACTATCTTATCACACTTCCCATTACACATATCCTTGGAGAATAAGACCCCCTTCTCAGGGCCCTGACAGAAACCAAAAGACACTGTCAGAAATCGTGCCGAGGCACCATCTTCCTGTCAACTTATCGATTTTTCCCCATTTGAAGCTATGGAAAGAATCGATTATTGAGGTGTTCGTTGCGAGCACCCTGTTCATCGATCCTTTCCCATAGGTTTAAATGGTAGATCAATCGATACATCGCAAAGCACACGACGTCCCGAATAAGTCGCGTCCCGAATAAGCCCACCATTCGCGAAGATAGGAATCAGCCAATCGATAGGATAATTGGACAGGTAGTCATTACCATTGCGAATTCAGAGCGGATACCGGAAAAGTCAAGTATGGGTGTGTCCTCCTCGTACTCCGTTTCCCGTGAGCGTTGCCAATTCTATCAAGAAATGAATCGATGATGATATTCAGCTAAGACAAAACGACACATGTACCTATCTCCGTACATTGCAATTGCACCGTTCTTATGCGTTTTCGTAAATGTAGCGCTTTAAGTTTGGCACCGAAGGTCCTGTAGAGTTGGACCACTAGATTGACTCTCTATTCAAATCGTGGGTGTTCTAAGATGTCCCTTTGTCTTGTTGTCACACAATGCAACCGCTTAGAAAAATAGAGGGATTGTTTTTTTCCTCTCTTTTTCAGAACGGAAAGACAAGAATATCGCGTCCTGATTGGGTCTCATTCGTAAATCAGAAGCACGTAACAATCCTCTGCAGCAGTCATGTCGCAAATTCAGATTTTGGTGTTGCCGATTTTAAAACAGACGATAACTAAATGTACAGACAGGTGCAATAGAGACAAAGCATGTTAGAGGACCCCTCCCTCTCACATATTCAATAGCATCCGTGAATATTCTTGCGCGTCCGTGAATCCAAGTGGAGAACCGTAAGAAATCGCGGATATCCGTGAATATCCGCGGAACCAAAGCATCTACGAATGCCGGCAAAACCATAAAAACTAGCGATTGCGACGATACTGCGAATATACGCGGAAATCCATGTTCCCGCGATCACGTGCATTCGGATATCAATGGAAAAGTGGGAAAGCTAACAAGGGTGTCTTTGAATACCCGCGGAAAATCGCGATCCCCAATAGCAGCGTAGAATTGTCAAAAGAATAGGTACCTGAAAAAGCATACGGAACCGCATAAAATTGTAAAAACCCGCCAACAACCGCGAAACCGTGAATTTTTCGAGGATCCATGAAAAACCGCGAGGACTTGCGAGTGCCCGTTCGTTAATCCGCGGATATTAACAACTAAAAGAGATCTCATTAGATGAGAACCCGTGAAGCTGCAAAAATCGACAAAAACCGAGAGGAAGCTGCAAAAACAGTAGTGACACTTGAATATCCGCGAGTTGCAACCTCGGAAAAAGAAAAATACGCCCGGCAGATATTTTTAAAGAATAAGAAAAAATGAAAAAATGAAGAAAAAATGAAGGAAAATGAAAAAATGAAGGATTTTTAAGAAAAAAAATACTTCCTTTAAATCCTCGCGGATAATCAAAACCACTTTATCCGCGGATACTTTGACGTTACTCATTCAGAATTCATCACCGCGTATACATGCAACCTTGACCGCGAGAACAGCGACGTGGCGTACTTTGCGATATATCGGTCGATTGATCTGTCATTTAACCCTATGGAAAAGGATCGATGAACAGGGTGTTTGCAACGAACACTCAATAATCGATTCTTTACCATAACTCCAAATGGGGAAATATCGAAAATCGATCATTCACGCTTCGCCGTTGCTCAAGGAGGAGCCTTAAACCAAGTAATTCACTCCGTTGGCGTTTATTTTTCGAGGACATTTAACGAAACCTCAACCAAGTACGCCCTGGAAAAACGTGTGGCAAGGCTCTTGTCATCCTTGAATACTGCAATTAAAAAACGCACGGTAAAATGTTCGTTCCTACGGCTCGGAACCCCACTTAAAACCAAATTCGACCAGTAAATCAAGGACCTAAAAGACGAGGAAACATGCTATTGATTCTTAATGTGGACGAATATCTTTCAGGGTTCTCGTGTTCAGCCTAAATTCAACCCTCCCATCCCATTCTTCTTGACAAGAACACGCAATGCAGCCGTACTGCCGTGCTAAGGAAAAAACGCCGTATGAAATTTTATTACGTTGCCAAATTTCTTCCACTGAAACACAAATTTCCTGGGAAACATCCGGTCATTTTTTTTATTTTTTCACAGAAAATTCTCCGCAATTCGCTGGAGTATGCCTGAAAATTTCACCGACACACATTTATTTTTCTCCTGAGAGATAAATATTTTGTCGGGAAACATTTGGCAACGTATCAATGTCCATGCGGTGTTCTTCTTCAGTACGGTAGGACAGTGATGTGCCTATTGCGTGCTCAACGGCCGAAAAATAAACCAGGGACGACTATGGCTTTTTATGACCCTGTGACACACTGGAAGTCTCGCCTTGAGTTCGGGCGTATGCAAATCCTTGGTCCACTTTTGGGTATCGGAGGATCGTTGAAAAGTTGTGTAATAGGTTTTCGCCGCAGCGAGTTGACGAAATTGCGATCGTTGGTAAGTACTGAGAATGTTTCTCGTGACCCTAAGTACAGAATGTCATTTCTCCCGTTTCCTGAAAGAAAAAGCACTAGAACCTCCCACCAAAATTAGTGGCAATGAATTGTTAGAATACCTATTACTTTTAAAACATCCTGGCAAAATCGCTTGATATTAGGATTATATAATACAATGATTAGTGGGTATCACGGATGGAGAGATGCTTGGTATTTTTGAGACTTTGGTATGCAAATAACGTTTTACTTGCTTATTTGTGCTGGAAAAAAAATACGGAGAGGCTTGTGACACAAATGCGAACTTTTAAGTTTAAAATTTGGAGGCAAAAAAATTAGGTAGCTGTTGTGTTGATTTTTAAACAAAGTACACACAAAGACGATTGCAATTGGAAATAGTCATTACTTCAATTTTTATTTTTATTTTTATTTTTGCTTAATTAAAGTGATATCTTTGGAAGGGTTCTGGCGGTCCAGAAAATCTAAAAAGTCGGAGATCATACGGCATTCTGAAAAAATCAGACTTCACAGGAATAGGCAGAGAATTTCGCGATAAGAGCGTCGACTTAGCAACTTCAGCCGGTGCAATTCGCGAGAACGCGAACAACTTCCGATTGCCTATTTCCTTAATTAGAATCTCTAGAAGTAAGGATTCCGTCCATATGGACTTTCAGAAAAAGTTCGCGTGGTTAAAAGAAAAAAATTTGCGTGGAATTTTTTATCTAAGATCAGGAAAAAATTCAGGGAGTCCGGAAATTTCAGAGTCATGGTGCTGGAGATGAAGGCATTACTAAAACCCAGCTTTGTTCACAGAACTCTTGAGCTTAGGAAGGGACCCGTGCTCCGGTATGGATAAAGCAAGTATGAGCTTTGGATTAACTTTTTGCCGTTTTTCTGATTGCAGGAGTTGCTAACCCAGACTCTGGAGTAGGAATCTACGCCCCTGATGCTGAGTCCTACTCTGTGTTCGCTGACCTGTTCGACCCCATCATCGAAGACTACCACGGTGGCTTCAAGCCCACAGACAAACACCCAGCGAAGGACTGGGGTGATGTCAGCACCTTAGGAAACTTGGACCCCACCGTAAGTCCTTTGCACGCTTTTCTAAGTGGCGCAATGCGCGAATGCGAATACTGAAATAATTTTTCGATTTAATGCAATGAAACTGGAATTTTTTAGCCATGCAATTGCAATATTCTTATATCATTTCGTTAATAAATGTCGACTTTAAATGATCGATACAATGACTTTCATGTGCGAGGAAGGTAGGTAGGCAATTCGCAATGCAAAAAAATTATACGGCTTATTTCAATTTTATTACAATACATATCAATGAGAAAAGCCCCTTCAATTAGTGAATAGACAACATGCACGACACTCATTGTCAGATAAATTAGCAGTAAGTTTTCTATGTACTCACAATTCATTGCGAACTATGTGCTATATACTTGAGTTGAACTTCTCCACTCTCGCTGTTCGACGAACTAATCAGGAAATATCCAAGTAGGAAGAAACTCGTCCCATGGGGTGGGAGGGGGGGGACAGAAATGATTGAAAACTACAAAGAAAAGCTGTAACGACGAACATGAAAAATTGAATGAGGTACAGGTGTTGGTGATTGAAAAAAAAATTTCCCAAAAAATTATGAAAAACTTCGAAAACTGCTTTTTAAAGGCAGACTCCTTCAATTTGTAAAAAAAAAAAATTATTTCTCCTTGCCAATTTATACCTACAGAACTGTAAAAAATCAAGAACCTGCTGACTTTAATCTGGTATTTCTCAATGACAGAAGGGTTGTCTCTGAAGTATCCCAGTATCTTTTTGGTCATTTCTTATTAACGACCGCATAAAAGTGAAATCCGTAGAAAAGTGGCTATTTTTCACATTCTCGGCTCTCTCGTCTAGAACACTAAAGATTTTTAAATTTGGTCCGATAAAACGCCTAACAAGTTGCTTTTTGTGGAGTTTCCTCCTGCCAGAGCGGGTCCAAATTTGGCGCCTCTTGGTCTTTGAGTATGACTCGTATGAAATCTTATTTGGGTCTTTTATGATACGACGTCGGACTGTCACAGAACTTATCAACAATTATTTTACTGATAAGATCGCCGTAGATGCCCCACACTGGTCACCTGTTTGCATACATCAGTTTTGTGTCAACTTCGGTTCGTGCAAGTGCTTTTCTTGAGTGTTTCGGTATGTGACTCTCCTAACATGGAGTTACCCACGGCTCGTGTTTCAGCGTGTGAATTACGCTCAATCATCCGCTATTTTAAAGGAAAAACTTACATAAAGTCACGAAAATTTATCAAGAGTTAGTTTCTTAAAACTACGGCTCAGGTATCCCCCTTTTAATCATTATCCCCACTGTAGAAATCTTTGTCGAATTGGTACCTAGCACAAAATTGCATATCGACGGTGAAATTACCAAACCACGTATCTCGTTTGCGGTGTTTAAAAATCTACGCTCACATTTTATTTTTTTGAAATAGACCAAATCAATATCATTCCTTGAAATTTTCACAGAATTTTCTTCGCACGAAAAGGAAAAATCACAGAAATTCTCAAGACTCGCCATTACGTAGTTTTTCATTTAAAAAATAAAGTATGACAGGAAGTCTGCGACGTCGCAAACCGAGATACGTGGTTTGGTAGTTTCACCATCGATATGTTTCCATTGGGAGAGAAGAGAGCTCCACAAAAAAAGCAACTTTTCAGGCGTTTTATTTGACCAAATTCAGGAATTTTTGTGTTTTAAAAAGCTAAGAGTAGGTACGACATACAACAAATTTTTTACAGATTTCATTTTCATGTAGCCGATAAAAAGATACGACAAAAAGATATAGGTACTTACTCCGGGGACGACCCTCGTCGGTAGTTTTGTGATGAGGAACGGCGAAGTTTTTTTAAGACTGATGCATGGTTGCATAGTCTTGCGATTTGCTTTTTAGGAATGACGGAAGTGAAAATGAAAAAAAATAAGGCAACTTTCATTGATTTGCTGCAGGCAATAAATTAGCAATCGCCAACAGTTTTCAAGACACCGGTGATTAATAGAAAATCATACAATTTTGAAATAAAGGAACAAGATCAGAGCACTGATAATTTTGACCTCAGTAGGAATAATAGCCACTTTTTCTTCCGCGTAAAAGCTCGGAAGCAGAAGGCACATTCAGGAGATCGTACAGTGAAATTCGTGGCATTGGGTTTAGGTCGGATAGGCAACTAAACTAGCTCCGAGACGAGGCGTAGAGTATCACAAAAACTGAAGGCGCTTCAAGCCGAGATCATGAAATTAAAAGTGGTAATCCATCATACCTGCATCGTGCCGATGTGCATTATTACGCCTTGTCGAAACAACACCTGAACCGCTAATTGCAAATTGCCGACGATTGCTCGGAATACTAAGTCATTTATCACCTAAAATTTATTCACATCCGTTAATACATTCCTGTTTCTGTTTTTCAGGGCGAATACGTCATCTCAACCCGTGTCCGATGTGGTAGGTCAATGGAAGGATACCCCTTCAACCCTTGCTTAACCGAGGCCCAGTACAAAGAGATGGAAGAGAAAGTATCCTCAACCCTCTCTGGTCTCAGCGGCGAATTAGCCGGTAAATTCTACCCCCTCACTGGAATGTCCAAGGAGACCCAGCAACAACTTATTGACGACCATTTCCTCTTCAAGGAGGGTGACCGTTTCTTGCAGGTTTGTGCCCCTCCGTTTAAGTTGTCTCGTATAAAAATTAAAATAGATACAGATTTTTATGAAGCAGCCCGAGACAATGGTTACAGGAGAAAAACAAGGGGAAATCAAGGCTAAAATACATCAATAAAACACCCGAAACGTTTCGACTCGAAACGGAGTCGTTTTCAGTCAAAATAATACAATAAAAATCCTTGAAAATCAAAATATAAATTGATTTTCATCGTATTACTCCGACTGAAAATGACTCGGTTTTGAGTCGAAACGTCTTGGGTGTTTTATTTTTGTATTCTAGCCTTGTTTCCCTTTTTTTTCTCCTTGTTTTTATCCTGTAAAAATTAAAATAAAGAGACAAGTTTCCGAAAAGCAGGGTGTCTACTAAAAATGGCTGGCAAAAAATCAGTACTTTTACAGTGCTTTCCCAAAAAAGGCATCGACAGAAAAATTCATTACTTTTTCGAAAAGTACATTTATGTGACTGAATGCTCAACATTACTCAAATTCGAGACTCAAACGCGCAAACAGCAACAAAAATGATGTGACCATGGCGCACAGTGGATTGAGTCAATAGGAGAGGTCAGACAAAATTTGGAAACTTTAGACGCTTACAACTCCATATATACAAAACTTTGAAGTTCCAAAAGTGGCTTCATTGCTTGTGTAAAATTTTCCTCTGAAAGCATCCCTTGAAATTTAAAATGTGACGAAAACAACAAAATTTGCTGTTATGGTAAAAAAATTCATGTCCAACCTCTCACATTGACTCGATCCTCTGTGTGGGGTGGAGATAAACTGGCTGTACAATTGGGATGTACTTAGCAGGCGGATACTGTACTGAGAATCAGTGTGCGAAGGATTGCATACTTTTTAGGCTGTCTTAAAACACACACGTGGTATGAAGCGAAAAATTCCAGACCTTCTTGCTGAATTTTCGTATTTTATCAGTTCTCCCAGACCGCCTCTAAGAAATCAGTACTACTTCCGGACTTTCCAGATTTTCCAGACCAATAGATGCCCTGGAAAAGTCAGGAAAAGCTTGAAAAATCAGAAAATTCTGCTACAAAACCTTGAATTTTCGTGTGCAGTCAGAATTTTCTAATAGCTTTAATTTTACCCATGAACTCTATTGACAGAGCTTAATTATTGTAATAAATACAGCTTGTGAAAATAATTATTATTATTAACGTCCCTGAAAATTCAGGAAAAAGTTACCTCCATATCATTCATTCATTGTTTACTTCTGTAGGTACTACTGATGAAATAAAATTTATCAATACTGATTCATATGAACTTTTGATCTGTCACAGGCTGCCAATGCTTGCCGATTCTGGCCCACTGGTCGTGGTATCTACCACAATGACAACAAAACATTCTTGGTATGGTGTAATGAAGAAGACCACTTGCGACTCATCTCCATGCAAATGGGAGGAGATCTAGGAGAGGTACATAATGATTCTTGTTAATTTTTGTGTGGATTTTTTACACCTATCCTGCAAAAATTAGATTTACAAGGGTTCATAAATTAATAAACCGAAAGTAACGAAAACGAAACGAAATCGAGGCAACAAACTGTGAGCTACATCATGAAATAAAGAAAGCCTACATTCTTCGTCTATTAAGATACTCTTGAACAAAGTCGCTGATACTAGAGCTGCAAATGCTTGATGAAAATTTTTTCAGTTTCCCGATTGTTAGGTGTTCTTTCTCTAAGATTGGTAAATAATTTTTTTTATACATGTATAATTTGGTGCAATTTACTTGTTTCAATTTTTTATCGCATCTGTTTTCTTTTTTTAAAAACAGAGAGGAAAAATTGCAATTATTTAAAAATATCTTGGAGAGATTTATTGATTCTTGTGTTTATTTTGCTCAGGTCTACCGCCGATTGGTAACAGCTGTGAACGACATTGAGAAGCGTATCCCATTCTCCCACCACGACCGTCTTGGTTTCCTGACTTTCTGCCCGACCAACTTGGGAACCACCGTTCGTGCATCCGTGCACATCAAAGTACCCAAATTAGCAGCCAACAAGGCCAAGCTTGAGGAAGTTGCCTCCAAATTCAACCTCCAGGTATGCTTTTTGCTCCGATATTTAACATGTTTACAGCTGACAGGTTTTTGCAAAATTCTATCTGTCACCGTAGAAAAAGACGCACAAAACCAGCAGAATTCAAATATTTCAAACCTCGATTTCCAAACATTGATGTAACTTTAATGTATTGGCTAGGTCTTCAGGATAGCACAGCAGTATTATGACAAAGTGCCAATGAAAATGCTGGTCCTTGCAACTGCTTTAGCCTGGCGCCACTAACAAGAAAACACTGTGTACAGCTTGGCAGTGAACGCATTATCTTATACATAAATTATAAAGAATCAGGATGGTAGAATAGTACTGAGTCCGTAAGAAAGCGCCAAGTACTTTAAACAAATTCCCTTTATGTGGACGGTAACTCAGCTGATAAAATCAGTCTCTAAATTAGAATTGCCTTCATTTGGAGAATTTAGAATTATTGGACATTATTGATTTTTAATTTCAGGTCCGAGGTACCCGAGGAGAGCACACCGAAGCTGAAGGTGGCATCTACGACATCTCAAACAAGAGGCGTATGGGACTGACAGAATACGAAGCTGTCAAGGAGATGAGCGATGGAATCACGGAACTTATCAAAATTGAACAAGAGCTTAAGTAAACATCCAAGCTCAAGCATTACTAAAGATATCGTTATTTCCAAGCTTGAAAGAACATTCGTTTAAACTTTATATGTAAATTAAAAGATCAGTATTACGAGATTTAATGTAAATATCACTAATTAAACTTGTTCAAGCCAAAAAAATTAATTTTTGTTTTCATTAAATTCGATTAATTACGTTTATTCTTTGTCTTGCTTAAGATTTTAAGATGATTCAAAGGAAGAACCCGATGAAGACAAATCAATGTTCAGATTTAGAAGACCAACCACACGCTAATAAGCGTAGTCTGAGGAACTCAAATCCTTGCATAATTGGTAGTTTTGTAGGTGGTTCCTTCCGAAGTCCCATCCAGTTTCTCTCTCTTTTCCCTCTCTCCTAAATTCAGCCCCTGGATCACGTCCAGGGACAGAATTCCTCTCCTCTTTTTTGCTTCCAGCTTCTAGTCTAGAAATATAGGTGGTTTAAGTTCTGAGCTGCGTTTATTGTTCCTCTGGAATTTGTGTTTCATGCACAAATGGCAAGATGGGACACTCGATAAACAATCTATTGTAAATTAATGGTATCCTATGGAAAGAAAAAGAAATAACATGTTACATGTTTGTATTATTTATTTTGGAAAATATACAACTGTTTCCAAAATGTTTGCTTTGTTCCTTATTTCTTAGCAGTATGTTTCCCTCACAACACGGAAGAAAACTTCTAGATGGACCACGAAACAGAGTAAAAATTGAAGTATCAAAAAGAATTATTCTTCATCTTCAAACAGAACAAAGAACAAGATAAAAAGTCACGATACTAACTTTAACATGCATTTATGGTTTACATTAGAATCAATTAATTCTGACTCCCTGCTGCTGTAAACACTAAAATCAATGTGTATAAGAATCAGCTATGGAAAAGTATATTAAAATGTTTTCAAATAACTGAGATTCCTTTTTATGAAACCCTACCCTTTCTCTAATTCACAGCATTTGTATTTTTTTGATGAAAAAATTCAGCATATGTCAAAATTATTTCGGGAAAAATGCTAAATTTATTCTAGACCCAAAATTCTTATACATACAATTTTCAAAACCGTATATACTCATGTAGATTTTAATTTTTTGGCGAGTGGGAAGTTCGAATCAAAAAAATCAGAGGACAAGAATTTCTTTTTGAATTGAACTTGAAAAGTTATTAACACGACAACCATGTTCTGTTTGAAATTTTGAGGGTGAAAATATAATTATGATGCTTCATTGCAACTCTATCTGATGGTACTGTAGACAATGATGTTGTTGGTGAAAATATCAAAATCTTGCATGGAAAACAATTTAAACAAAGGGAGGTTCAGAAACTAACTCCTAAACCAGGTATCAACACGTAATCAAATGGAAGTTAGATTAGAAAATGGACGTCATTTGTATTTTTGCTGTTCAACCAATGTTAAATGTGAACATTAAAATTTGTTAAGAAGTTGATTTCTAGACTTCCCGTTACCAGGTTCATTTTCTCCGTGTAATTTTACAAAGAAACTATTTCGCGCAGTGCTTTAATTCAGACCTTGTTTGGAGGCTTATTGCAATGATTTACAAAAATAAAAATAAACTTAGTAAATATTTATACTATGTCCTGGCTTTGATGAAATTCACATGATTTACTTACATTAAGGATTGAAACATTAAAATGATGGTAAATCCTTTGAATGAGATCTGACTAGATTCTTCAGCAAATGCAGAACTGGCAAATTAAAAATGACATTTAAATAAAAGGTTCGGCCATTGCTACAGTGTGATCGACTCCGCAGGAAACTTCTTTCACAACGGCACCGAGAGAAACCTGGAAAGATTATGTTGAAAAGTCATTACTTTGTAGTCAGAGGAAGACACCCCCAGTAACAAAGACTATTAAAAAGCAATTTTATAAGATCTCTTCAAAAAAACTGTTAGACATCATGTTTAAGAGACCTATTTTGGAGATTTTTTAGGTAAAATTGGACTGAGTTTACCAGAATCACAGCAAGTCTCATCTAGTTTGATCTGAATCAAGAAAAATAGGACTGAAGTTTTAGACCTTGAAAATTTACGAGTTATTTCAAAGTTTTCTGACGGTCCCTGCTACTGAGGACAAGAAAATCATTGAAAGATCAATTATTTCTGTGGGTTGCAGAGTTCGTTTTTTTACCAAATGAATCTTTGCAGGCAAGCATAATTTTTACGAAAAATACTCGTAGTACAGGATTTTCCTGATTTACACCTATAATTTAAAATTAAATGATGATAACAAAGTTCTAGTGCTTATAATTTCTGTAAAAAAAAGATGATAAAATCATATTGGAACCCAGGGCTTAAGTTTGTCTTTTTACTTTAATTCTGTAAGGGTAAGTAGAGAACGAGAACAATTATTTGAGGTTTACATTAAAATTCCAAGCTAAAATTAAAAAATAAAATTGAAAAAATCCAAAAATTAGGTACAGAGGCTCACCTGTAGAGGAAAATATTGTTCCCTCAAGTGTCCTAAACCCAACTGGCCATCTTGATTGCGGCCCCAAGTGTATAAGTTCCCGTAATTAGTGATAGCCGCAAAATGCGTTAATCCAGCCTCTATTCGTACAACTTTAGTATCCGGGCTAATTTCATTGCAGCCAAACAGTGGAGGGGGAATAAGAGTAGGAACAGGATTTCTGTACACATTTGGTCCATTTCCCAAAATTCCGAAGCCCCACGTGAATACTTTGCCCTCCTCTGAAAAAGAAAAAGTGCCTTGATTACTGTGCATAAATCCTTGCAAAAATGATGCAAAACATATTAAAAGATCATTCTCTGCGAATAGAGCATCATTGCATTACAAATATTCAGCAAAGAAAATTAAAAGAATCATTGTTTGCAACGTCCTATATAAATTATTCAAGAGAGAAAAAAGAAGCAATGAGTTAAAACTATTTTCATTTCTGACATGGTGTCCACTGTTCTCCTTTAAGATTCTGGTTCACCTGTTGCTGATTGGTTTTCAATGTACAGAGTGATACATGGTAGTTATTTGGTTCTTTAATCATTAAACATGTTGAAAGATGCCAAAAATATTTCACACAATTTTTCTTAACTATAGCCTCTGACTTCGAACTTTAAAACATATCAGTTTCTCAAATGTTTTATTCATATGTATTCTTGACAGCCAAAAAATCTAAACAGTCTAGCCAAGTCCTGAGTAATTTATGAAGATTTTCTTACAACTCGTGATTGCAGAGGTCCACAAACTTCTTGACCACGCAACCAAGCGGATTGTAATCAGCCGCATAGGAAGGCATCAGAAAGGCGTATTTAAAATGATAAAGCCGGCAAAATCCTATTTACTTTTGCTAAATTACAATAAAAAGAAAATTACTCATTTTTTGCAAAAGAATCGCAATTGATGCATACAGAGCCATAAAAAGGTCATCATTTTGAAATTTCTGCAGAAGAAGGAGTTTTTAAAATGGAAAGGCCAGGGTGAGAAATAAAAAGGGCCAAAACCTTTCTGCATTTTTGAGGATGCAAGATGGTATTATATGATGCTTGATATTAAATGTAGACGATACAAACGTTACATGCATACGAGTTACTTTTACAGCCGTCTCTGACGCTATTTGAGTGTGTGATTTGAGTGTGCATTGCATTGTTCATAGAACTGTCAAACATCACCTAGGTTTTCTCTTTAAATTTCTTCAGCTAATTTTCAGACGGAAATTAACAAAAGTATAAGTTATACCATTGATAACCGCACAGTTAGTGCCACCTGATGCGATATCCAAAATCTTGCCAAGACCTTTCAATTTTTTCATATGCATCGGAACATTCACTTGCTGTATTGCATCATCTCTCATAAGCTGTCCGTACTCTGAATTTCCCCAAGCAAACACATCACCTTTGTCTGAAAAAGGAAAAGCAAACAACTGGAAATTGACTCCATTATAATAGGTCACGTCATACCTAGCATAGCTTGAAAGTAGATAAATGAGGCTATTTTGTGGCTTTTTTATCACCTGAAGTTAGTCAGTTCGTTAAATGACACAAGAATGTCATTCTCACACTATCTATCATCGCTGCTGAACAACTCTCACGACAAAACAAGGGAAATCCGAAAGAATTACTATCACCTATTTTACCATCTTGTTACATACAGTTCAGGCTACTGTTTTTTTTTTGTTAAAGTACTAAAAGACCTTGTTCTGGTTGGCTTACTAATTTGAAGATTTATTTGAGAGAAATTATTGAAAATTCACTTCAAAGTTATACAAATGTCCCACTTGTCACCCTAAAATCACGCTTCATTGTGAGGCTTTCTGAAAATAGTTAACAGCCCAGTGTGATTCAAGAGAACTTTGGCTTTTTAGCAGGAGATGTAAAGTTAAAAGAAAATATTTTTAACTTTTCACCCTTTTTTCAAAATTGATGATTTTTTGTATCTTCCGTATTCTACATGAAATGAATTTTTGATTTTGTACCTTGTTCACTGGTCCTCTGTTACAGAAAATCGAGTGGAATGAGGCAAGAAAAGGTACAAGACCCAAAGAATGGAGTTGTGAGAGAGAAATGATCTAATTTAATCAGATAAAATTTCTTTCAGCCCTGGAAACAAATCATTCTTGGGTCATCTACCATGACAATAGACCGTCTTGAGTATTTTATCGTGACGATTGACTTATTTGACCTTTCTTTTGCAAGAAGATCTGAAGTATTCATCAGAAGGGGTTCAATTCGTTGTGTCGACCCTAATTAAAGCGGAACTGAATCTAAGTCTTGCGGCCGTCCTCAGTCGGAGCCTAACATTGACTAAGAGTTCCTCGAGAATGTCTCATGAGACTGAAAAATACCTTTCTTCAGGATTTCTGGATATTTTTGAGAAGCCTCGCAGCATTCTTCAAGGGATAGAAAAAGGAAGAAGTTTGCTTCCAGGAAGTAGAGAAAGCGATCTACTTACCATTCAAGGCTAGGACACAATCCGATTTGCATGAAATTTTTACAATTTTCTCATCTTGAATATCACCTTTGACCAGCGAAGGTTGCCACTCATTTTCATGATGACCAAGTCCAGTTTGTCCGTCAGCCCCCCATCCACAAGCATACACCTTCCCAGATTCAGTGATAAACATACTAGACAGAGCAAAAATGAGAAATTTTAAATTGAGAATGGGAATAATTTATCATTCAGTTTCAAAAAAGAATAAAAAAAAAAGATGCAAAACTACTCAATCAGCAGTTCAATACCTAAATTTGACATGGATGCTGTATTTTTCCAAATGACAGAGGGCAACTCTCTTGTTCTATGTCAGAGAGCGATTACTTCATTTTCACAGGTTCAAGATATGAAGCGAAAACGATCCTACAGCCACATTATTTCTGATGTTATGCACTATCTCGGGAGTTCTGCATCTCCTGCACGGCGTTATACATCCCAAAAATTGTTTATAAATGTGAAACCCTTCCTATTAAAAACGAAACTTCTCGAAGATCGTTGATTTATTTTTCTTCCTGTCAACTAAGAAATTATCAAAAAGCTAATTTCAATGCTTGACTTCTTTGTCGGAATCTTTTAATACACAATTTTTGAATTATTGCAAACCTAACTTGTACGTCCTGCTCAGAAACTATGGAGTGAGAATTTTTCTGGTCTGATTTCCTGATTTTCGCAGAATCTTCACATGCATTGAACAAGGGCCTGTTGTATGAGAATCGTTATCCATTTTTAGCTGCTTTTGGAACTCTTCTACCACTCTTTCATTCGAGTTATCACACAATATTTAGTGCAACATTTTGTTCATGATACTAAGAGTTGATGTTCCATCATTTTTCAACAGATTTTTTGGGAGAATTGTAGCAGCATTGCCAGGTTGGTTATCGAGAAGAGATCTACCTTATTAGAAAGATAAGACAGACGCTGTGCATCCTCAGGTTCCGAAAATTTCTTAGAGGTGGGCAAAACTAAAGTGACAAATTTGAAAGAGTCGAATGAAAATCAAAAGGAACTAACATTTTTCCGAATAATGACGGTCTGCAGCACAATATTGAATTGCTTGCCAACCAGAGCTTATAAAAAAAATGTCATAGAGAAACGCAGCCATAACTCTACGAGAAAGTGCGTTTTTAAGTTGAGAAACTTCATGTTTCAGTTATGATTTTCACAAAATTAGTGCTAAAAATTCCAGTATTCAAAATAAACTCGTATTAGATCTCTTTGTAATCTATGTGGTAGCATATTAAAAATACAGTGAGAGATTGATACCTGTGATCTTGTCCGCAGCAAACACTAACTATTTTTTCGTTTCCGAGTCTGATAGCCTGAGATGGCACTTTGTTCCTAATATAGTCCTCATTTTCAACAATAGGGCGGCCACACTGACCATATGCATTGTGTCCGAGGAAATGAACACCTTCTGTTGATAATATTGCACAATGAGCTCTGCCCGCAGACAATTGAAGAATCTCAACAGTTTTTGGACTCTTGTATGGGATGTACACAGGCACAGGCGCTAATACTAGACACAATGGGTTGTTTCGACGAGGGTCATGGTATCCTGAAAGAAAAAGGCAACGGTCCATTACTCGCTCACTGTTCAATTTACCTGATCTCATTAATTTTTCTATGCAACTGTCTTAGTGGTATTGACTTTTGGGGGAAAAAAACAAACAATAAAACTTAAAAACTCATGAATTTAACAATAAAAATAAGATGAATATTAGATAAAAATAAGATAATTAAGGTAAATATTTAAAAAAAAAACTGTTAAAATATCCAAATTAGGAGCCTGTTGTATTCTTCTACAGGTATTTGGTAATTTTATTTCTAAAAATTTTAACAATTTTACATAAAATGTTAGATTTTTACATTGCATGTTTTGCAGTTTATTATGCGTTTCCTATTAATATAGGTGATTTGTAGAAGTTAACAAAATGTTAATGCCAATATTTTTCATATTTTTTTTAACATGAATTTCACATAAATTTTACTTTAAAAAGAACAAAAAGAGTTCCCTATTTCATACAATTTGACAGTTTGTTTACCTTTTCCTTTTAAGAGGAACTTCAAATTACAGTCAATGCTACGGAAGAAAAGGACAAACAAAAAAATAAACGTTTCCAGGAAGATTTATCAGCATAAAATTGATTGGCAAAAGAAATGAGTTAATAAACTCCTTTAGATTGTAGCTCAGAATTGAAAGAATGGCTTGTAAAATATCATTAAATAAGATAAGTTTAGGAGAAAAAATTACCAATCTGTCCATCCGAATTTATACCGCTACCAAAGACTTTTTCTTTACATCCTTTTGCAGTTCCAAAAATTGTAAAACCATAACCACATGCCATTTTGGTAATCTGAAAAATGAATATCAAAGTAAAAATAAAAATAATTTTGGGGTGGGATCAAAAGCTCGTTAGCTTGGCATATCATACTGCAACACCACTTTAAAAAACATTTCTTCAGGATCTTTCATGAGTGAAAACATATCGATTTTGAAGAATTAGTGAAGATTCACGATGTTCATAGGAACCGATCAGATACAATTTATCGATGACTGAATTCTTAAACTACATAGCTCAAAAGGAGAATCTACAGATTTACCAATGCCATTTCATTTCTGAAAAAAGGAACAAATCATTTTATCACTCGCAATTTTCCTAGAAAACTCTTCATGAAAATTATAGAACTTCTACAGAGACAACACTGAACAATTTTTCTTCTCTAGAATTGAGTCTGACAAAAAACCTGCATGATCATAAATTTGGATACATGCCTAAAGAGACTATCAAGCAATATGTTTGACCCTTACCGGATATTGATAAGCAAAATGGATTCGAAGCGGGCGAAAGAAGAAGGGTCGCTGGGATCTTTTGCGTTTTGGCTTTGGCAGGTACCCAAGGGCTCCATGTTCAGCCAGCCCCCACGAATACACTCGATTATAGTTTTTACTCTTTCCATAATTCATAAATGGAACTGAAAAATTAAAAAGATGAATAAGCTACCATTTCAAGACAGATGAATAACTTGATTAATCTGGGTATTGATACGATTCCGATGAACGGATTCCCAGAAACTAAATGGACAAATACAAAGGCTGAGATATTGAGTATCATGATGCATGTCTCGTCATCAAAATTTCTTGCAAATTGTGGTGGAAACATAGAAAATTTCCAAATTTACTTATGAGTAAGTAACTAGCATTTTATGTTTTTGTCAAATTTAACTGCCTATTCATTGAAAAATCAAAGCCTTTCCCAGTTACAGTAGTCTTCATGTTACATAAACGCACAATTTTTCTTATATGCTACGCTTTTCTTGACCTGTTTACAAGATTTGTGTAGGAGAAAAGGGGTAAAATGTTGTTCAACAAAGCACTAATTTTTTGCCGAATTGAAAAGACTGTTTCAATGGCTGATTAAATCTAACTGATTAAAGGTTTTTTCTGCAATCTAGAAGCTCCATTTGACTGCTTTCAATGTTAATGAAAACTGGCAATGACTGAATTCTGAGTTTAAAAATTTTCCAGCCAAAAAACTACTTTCCTAACATTTACATACAGGGGTGCAGAGAGTTCTCATCCTTCTCATTTTTTGAACAGGCCTTCTTATTTTAAAAACCATTTTATTCCCCCAAAATACTAAGAGCTGTGACCTTTTGCTTGTCCTTCATTGACACATTGCAATGATTTTGGAACAAAGACAAACAAATCCCATCGCAAAAAACACACAAACTTCACCTTGAATTTCATTAAAACATGCAATTTGAACACTATGGTGTGCTGGCTTTCCCAATTTTGACAGCCCCGACATTTTCACGCAAACAGCCTCGCAGTCATGACCACATTACCTGGAAGTTTCTGTACCCCTGACTACAGATAAATTGATCCTTCTTTAAAAATTCTTTCATTGCCTTTAAACGGACAGATGCATTAAGTAAGTCTGATTGCTCAAAATTGCCTGAAAATTTCACAGCGAATCAACTGGAATTTCGTTCTGGCTTTTCCTGAGAGTTTAAATCAATTTTCTGATTCATAGCGCAAATAAATAAACACTTGCTTGCTTTGAAAGACCAACACAGATCATGAACAGAATCAAAGTCACTTTTTCGGCCATGAACAGCACGGAGTTGAAAAATGCTTTACACACACCATTCCTGACCATAATGGATTTTCTAGATGTGTTCCTGATTTTTCCTAGTGACATAGAATTTCCTGATAACTTCTAGTTTCTCCAGTTTTTAATGTCGGTAGACACCTTGTTTTACAGACAGGGAAACGATCGTTCATTAAATTGTGGTGGAAAAGTCATGGGGGACAGAAAAGAGATGATGATGAGGTGCGATAACTATTGTGAAAACAAGAGTAAAAAGGTTGCAAATGCAAAAAGAAAAACTCACTAACCATCTTGAGGTTCATTCAAATTACTGGCATTAGGCCTCACTACCCTCTTGGTCTTTTTCACATGTTGGGAACGTGTGGAAAACTTTGATTTTAAAATTTGAAATGGATTTAGTGCGCTGCTGTCAATGAGCTGACGGAGGCACGATACCTTGTCTGAAAAAAAATTAAAGAAAAGTTAATAATATATATATAGCATGCAAAACACAAAAAAGAGAAAAAGGGACTACTTCTAAAGCCTTGTCTCTATGGGTCGTTTCACGAGATTTGTCCTGGGGAAAAATCTCACTTGCGCAGTTCGGAAAAATATTGAGTTGATCAATAATGTTTCCAGCACCAAGTATGGTCCTTGTATCCCTAAGACCAACTGAGAGAGGAAGAACTGAAAGCGAATAGTATGATATTTTGTTGGTTACTCCAGTGTTTGTGTTTGTTTCATTCATTCATTAAAATAATGTGTCTAACTGTCAGTCGTCTTCAATTATTTTTTTAATCCTGGTTAAATACTCCAATTTTGCCAACTTATCTTTCTGCGCAGACTTGTCGCAGGACCATGTGAACCCCGTCCCATGGAGACCGTAACTGGGAAAAATCCCAGAAGTTTTATTTCTGCATTCGAACTTGGGACAAATCCCATGAAAACGTCCCGTGGAGACAAGGTCTAAGAGAAGCAGAAACTATGAGTTTTAGGAATCAATGGAACTGATAAATTCAAGTATTTAGAAATTTTTGAAACTTCATAAATTTAGGTATTTGCTGTAAAATGTTGAGCATGCACCTTTTAATCATGTTAGCATGTAAAAGATACGTTGCCACAAGATCCTCAACCATTACATGGAGAAAAAAAGGAGGTGTTCGCATTTCCGCCATCTTGCATTCGTTTGATGACGTTGGTACGGACAATTTTTATCGTCGATATTCTTGGAAATAGTGTTGTTAATAGAAAAAAGTCAATCTATATAAGGTGTTTGAAAAGATGTTGTGAGTTGATTTAAGTGAAAAAATCGAATATTTTGGTCCGTTTTTCATACCTACTTCGAATTCCGGATTTAGCTAAAATATTGATACCATATTGTACCGACCTACATCACGGGGTAAACAATCCTCAAGATGCCATCACCTCCTTTTCTTTTCTATACGACCATGGTCTACCTGGAATACCCGCTAAGGTTCAGAGAACCAATTTCTAACAGGCAGGATATCTATTACTTAAGGTGATTCGTCGAGTTCAAGTGACGCGGTCGAACTGGCATGCGATATATCACATTGATTAGGTCAAATAGCTCCGCAGCTTTTGAATTAATAGTAAAAAAAAAGGACATTAACCCCTGCGCACAAGCCTTAAGAGAATCCAGGGGATCCTTCTCTGGATTTTGGGTATGGCGAACCCACGCACCCGAGCTGGCTGAATTACGCCTCTTTTCGTAGGGCAGTCACTCTTGAGATCCTGACAGGTATGGCAACGTCTGTAAGTAGTGGTGCGTCGGGGACGGGTTGTCGCCGAGTGAAGGCGCTTGCTCGGTGGGGATCCATCCAGGGCGCACCACAAGCCAGTAGTAGTAGCCTTGATGCTCAATTTCCTGGCAGCCAGGGGTTTTTCGGGTGGTATGTTCACCGACGCCTTTGCATACCCGCGAGAGGAACGATTGGGCCTGCCTCGTCTGGTTGGGATATCTCGCCGGGAGAACCACCAGTCCTTGTGACTGGTGGGGGTGTAAAGGTTTGTAGCCGGGGTCGGAACCCACTCACGCGCTGCTGACCATCGAGCATGCCTCAATCTCGTGTGTGCGGGGTGCGGGTGGCTCTCTCGAACCCCCTGTCAGCTGATTGCAACTGTCGAGGGGTGGGGCTGGCCGCCCGTCCCTGGCACATGCGAGCAGTAGTTGCCGGAACTCGGTTTTCAAGCAAAAAAAAAAAAAAAAAAAGCCTTAAGAATCATTCTAAACCCAAAAATTGGCAAAATTTAGAGAAATGAAAGTAGAATAGTGTTCGGAAACAAATCTCGCAATTGATACAGAAATCAATAGCTGAATCAAATGCGAGGTTTTTTTCTAAACACTAGTCTGCTTCCATTTCTCTGAATTTTCCCAATTTTTGGGTTTAGAATGATTCTTTTTGCTTGTGCGCAAGGGCTATCGTCATTTTTTTACTAAAAATTCAAAAGCTGCCAAGATTTTTGACCTAATCGATGCGATATATCGCACACCAGTTCAACCACGTCACTTGAGCTTGACGAATCACCTAAACAACATAGTCTGCTGGAGGGTTTGAAAAATTCAGGGTCTTAAGGATGATCATGGCACCAAATGTCCGATAAGATCTACTACTGCGCATCTCGCTAGTCTCTGAACTCATCCTCAGAGTCTTAGGCATCATCTGAATGACGAAATATTATTGAATATGAGCCATGAGTGTTCGTTGAGGATATTTGTCGATGAAGTGAAAATTGGCTTAACTTGCTGGTGACGCTTGCTTGAAAAGAGAATCCCTAATTTTTTGAATGGTTAATACTAGTTAGATCATGCAGTACTTACTAAGCATTTTCTTGATGAATTTTAAAGCCTCCTCTTAAAAAAATCCAGAGGAGCTGCACTTAGATCAACTCACCGATGAGCATGGTGAGTAAAAATGTAATTTCAGTTCAGGCGACTAGAAACATTATAGACCACAGAACTTTTCACCAAACTTTACTACAGACAAATTGTAATCCTTGGGATTACACGATTTTAAACTAAAGTAAAAAAATACTTAAATTTTAAATTAATTGAAATTTTTTCCGACAATGTCTAGCAAGATACTTTATATTTCCTTTTCACATGCTTTGAGCGAGGTTATGTTTCATAATGTAAACAAACATTTCCGACCTTGAAATCAGCTGACCTATCAGAGGGGGGAGGGAGGGGTAATGTTGTTCTCCCAGNTCCTTTGCTGTTTTCTTCCGTTGACTCAGATTAACAGCGGTAAGGAGCATCATTTACCTAAGTATTCATTGTCAATTTCATCAGATCTTGTAATTTTGTAGCAACTGTAACAGTGTCAAGGATTGTTTACCGCGTCCTTTGTAGATTTCTCAAACAGGGCACAGTTCATTGAATTCTGATGCAAAAATTTGATTAATTGGATGTATCGTCAGTAGAATCTCAACCTCTCAAAATGCAGAAATGAAATATTGTCTCCGTTTTCCGGAATGTACAGAAAATGTTACCAGTGTTTGATCTTACAGTTGTAAATTTTGTGTTGTAGATGCCTCACTGAATGGGTTGGGAATGCCGCACGAAGGTTTGTGCATGCAAAATTTCTTGAGACCTAAAAGGTAAAATGATCCTGAACCCTCTAGAACTGATTGTTTTGGTCTTCGATCTCATACGTTTGATTATCGGCATCTACTTTGCATTTTTATCTGCAGTATTTGAATTTTTATTCCCACCTAAACCGAAATCATTGTGGAGAGAGATAGTTTTGGTAAGTTCTGTATATCTACATCTTTGAAACTTAAATAAGATTTTGAGAGAATGTTAGAGAAATATTGACCCAAGGAAGATTCTCTATGCTCTGTGGTCTTATTGATGGCAAAACTACAGAAACACTCACTACGTTGCTGATTTCCTGTTAAATATATTTTTTAAATGGAACAATACCCAATAGCATTATTCTTGAAAATTTCCCTGATCTTTCTTCTCTGTGTGAAGAATAATCTATGAAATTTTCAATCAAAATTGTTGGTTTGGTACAATTAAATGGGAGCAGTAATAATCTTGAAACATTGCAAACAAAATATGCATTCTTGCAGTTTCACTGTCATTATGAATTTCGAATTACCGACTCATATTTCATATCGTAAAGCTTTTTTTCCCTTGAAAAAAAAAATCCCTCACCAATTTTTTTCATCTGCAATTTCTACCTTTGTAAGAATCAACTATCAAGATAAAATTAACAGAGCATGAACTCTCGTGGATCAATACTTTTCAGATTGTCGGAACTGAGTATGGAATTGGCAGGGAACTAGCGCTGCAGTATGCAGCCCTCGGAGCTGTTGTGGTTTGTTGGGATACGAATCGCCGAGAAAATGAAAGGCTCGCTTTTGAGATCAGGAAACGAGGACGCAGAGCTTACGCTTTCACATGTGACATCACTAAAAGAGAACAGGTAAATTCAGCAGTATACCTCTGACTTGTAAGTTAAGATTGAAATGAAAGTAGAAGTAAATACTCTCACTCAGACTCACTCTCTACTGCAGACCCTCAATGTATATAAAGCCATTTTAGAAGAAGGGAATGCGACAGTTACTGGAAAGTCTTTAACATAAATAAATATTCAAGATTGAAAACAAGTTGCTTTAGGTACTGAGAGCATAGTGCGCGAAGTCAAAGTCGACAACTGAAGTCAGCACTGCAATTAAGTCCCAGGTCCATCATCCTCTTCGATTAGTGACTCATGATATGGTTTACTCATCTGATCTGTGAACCTTATCATTCCGATTTGTATGCTTATTTTCAGGTTCTAACCACAGGCAAAAGGGTGCTCGAAACAATAGGTCCTGTCTCAGTTATTGTGCACAGCTGCGGTTTGCCAAATCATGAGACCCTCCTAGATGTTACAGAAAATGCTGACTCTTTCTTTTGCGTTGAGCCGATGGAAAAGGCCGTTCTCTCTTTATTCTGGGTAAATAAATGGTTTCTGGTTTGCTTTTCTCTCCTGGTCTCTATTCGTTTTTCTTTGGATTATTTTGGAGACTGAAATGGAGAATAATAGGAGTGACGTTGAATGGGACAAGTAATTGCTAAAATAAGTCATCTCAAATAAAAGTGGAAACGTTTGAATCCACGAAAACATTATCATTGAGTTTTTTGTTGGACGAGTTTGCAGCTTCGCAGTAAAAATCATGGCTGGAAAAAAAGACAAATTTGATTCAATTCATTAAATATTCTGGCTCATAAAATAAAAAAAATGTCAATTTATTCACGCAAAAAATCAGGATACTTCTTCTGAAATATCAGGAAACATCAAGAAAATCCAAAATGAAATTTTAGTATACACTCTGATACAGGGGTGCAGAAAATGCCCTATCATGCGCCCAGGCAGGCGTGTAAAAATGTGGAAAAGTCTCAAAAATGTGGAAGGAGGCTACATTTTGAAAAGTTAGAAGTCGAAAATCAAATGAAAACAAGAAAAAGGTCATCTATTTTTAGATTGGTGGGAAATTTTGTAGAAAACTGATGAGAATAATGTGGAAAACCGGCCTGCGGGCGCGTGAAGGTGTGGAAGCTTGAAAGATTCTGCACCCCTGCTCTGATAATTCTCTTGATCTCATCATTCATCTTTTTCATTTCAGTTGCAAGAAGCATTTCTGGAGACGATGATCAAACAAGGCAAAGGACACTGGGTGCTCCTTAGCTCTGTGGCTGGAATCGAAACTCATCCACAACATCTGGGAATTACTGCTGCACAGTTTGCTGTCCAAGGATTCAGTGAATCAATCTCTTACAATTTACCAAAGAAAAATGTCAACGTATCTCTTGTCCACATCTATCCGTTCATTCTGCCACCTCTATTTCAGAAAATTTTGCAAAAAAGGTAACTAAGCTTTCAACTCGGCAACTGTTATACTTGGTTGCATGTATCCTCGGAAGATGGAAAGAAAAAGAAAGAAGAGAAAGAAAGAAGAAAAAAAAATCTCGATAACTGTTGTCCGCAGTGTGGACCTGTCATGTTCGGGAGAGCTTTTAAATTAGGATCTCATCTAGGTACTAGTATTTATCATTTTTGAAAAAGCCTTATCATAGTGTTTTCAATAGCAGCATCCTCTTTGTGATGCTGGCAGTCCATTGCTTTATGCCCAGAGAACTATCAGCCTCGTTTTATCTCTAAAAGAAAAAATTAAGTCTTAAACAAATTATTTATTTTACTTTGCTTTCAAGTCTGTAAGCGTTGCTTATTCATTTACACGTACGTTTTCAGGTGTTGCCAATGCTGTAGGCTGCAATAATTGATTTTGATCTTCTAATAATAAAGCATCCTGCTAGCTCTAAAGGTTATTTGAAGATTTCTTCGAGTTTATGAGGTTATAAGTGAGCTAAAATACCACTGGTCAATGGAACAATAAATTGAATCATCAAGGTTTCCTTCAGTAGAAGAGAATCCTGGTTTTCTTCGAGTGATTGAGGTTTTCGAGTAATTGAGATTTGAGTTATCCAAGTGCAACTGTACATATTAAAACAAAAATTTATCTATCGTTTTAACTTTAATCATGAGACCAAAACATAGATATTTGTAAATTGTCTTTGCGAGAAGCACAGGTACAGAGCCTCTTCAAATTCTTAATGGCATTTCTTCATGGTTTTTCTACAACTTTTTGTTTACCCCTCATTAGCTCCACCAGAGGCGGTTTTTATGTTTCTATGTTCAATTATTAATAGTGGTTCTGTCCACCTTTAAGTCTGCAACAATTTTTACTTGCTTTTTAGCCAATTCAAGTCTTCAATTCGTCTACCAATAGGATCACTACTTTTTCCTTAGGTAGCTTTTGAAAAAAAAAAATCACTTTTCTTTCATTGGTATCACTCTCTGCATAGCATACTAAACACCTACTCCAGTAATTTTTGTCTAAAAGGGTGCCATCAATCAAAAATTATTCAAGTCACCAAGCAAACAAAGCACTAAAATCTAATTCAATAACTTTTGTCAAAACAAGTTACGTAAAATCAACAATGTTGAAGGTTGTCAGGTAAATGCACAACTGACAATTCGCCTGCAGCTTTGGAATGATCAAAAAAATGCCATAGTAAAGGTCATTTAAGTGCATTGCATTGCTACCTTAGAGTGTGACATTCACTCATGCCTCTATTTAAACCACTAATTTGGAAAACAAGATGGAAAAAAAAATCCAGCGAAATAAATTTTTTTTACCAAATTTTACCACTGTGAAACTGTGTTGGCCATAATATCTGTTTGACCTTTTGATTTCACTCTTAAAACAATCAAATATCAATAAATCTTTTTTAAGAGTGCCATATACGTATTATACAGTGCAGGCTAATGTTAGGTCGTTAAAATACTTGAAATTTAATTGGAAACACCACAAGTTTTTATTTAGCTTCAAGAGAGTCATTGTATTCGAAGACATCAGCAAAAACTCATCACCTCACTTTTTTCCAGAATTTCAAGTTATTTTGGTACTATTGAACCTCAAGATGCGGCACGACACATCATTTATGGCATGAGGCGTAACCGAGTGGAGTTCAGCATTCCTCTGTACTTACATTTCCTGAATAAGTTACTCAGGTAAGATGTTCTTGTTTTCCTTCTTGCATTATTTTTGCCTCTCCTAAACGTACTTTTTCTATTATAGGCTTTAAATCTACCTGGTATTGGTTTGCAATACCGTGAAAGGTTCTCATAAAAAGTCATGTATACTTGTAATCCAACCTTGACTTTAAAATTGACAGTATATTTTGTATTTATTTCCAAACTTTCTAGCAGTCTTGACAACCTGAATCAGGAAATTCACAGCAACTTGGAAAAATCAGGGAATTTTGCAAGCAGTCAGCTCAGCATTTGAAGTTGGCACCATTTAAGAAAGCGTGCAACATTCTAGAGCTCCTCTTTTTTTAATTTGAATCCCTAGAAGTAGAGATTTAATTTTTTTTTAGTTCAGCAAAAGTCAGTGGAACCAAAAATGTAAGTTGAGGCCTTGATCAAAGGCCTGGACAAGTTTGAGAACACAGAAACTTTAGAGTCAAAGTGAAGCAAAAACTGACAAGGGCAATTTAGAAAAAGTCAGGGAGTCGGAAAATGAAGAAATAGTGGGAACTCTTTAACCACTTAAATCATCTGTTAGTTCACAAGTTCAATTGACTGTTGATTAACCAGATGTTTTTCTAAATCTGATAAATTCTCTTTACTTTACAGGATTTTGCCGAAAAAGTCTGCTTTCATGCTGCGTGATTCGTTTGATACTGGCGTGGATTTTGGGTAATAAGACTCGTTCAGTTTTCAAAAACTCATTTGGCAAATCTAAGTATCTTGTAGGTAAACTTTTTTTCAATTTCTCTTAGGTACTCTGTTTTACTCTCGCAAACCAACATTCCCAATAGATCTGCTCAATTTTTATTATACTTATAAATTTTTTAAGACATGTTTACACAAAAAGATAGTTTAACCCTCGTAGGCTATCAATTTCTACGACTCTGTTATCTCCTCCGTAAAGTATGTTAAAACAATTATTTTTATACTCTTGTAGGTTTGTTTTGTATTTATAATGTTGCTTTTCCTTTATTGATCTTTTAACTCAGGGTGATTGTTATTTTTTTACAGTTTATCTTAAAAATATTTACGTAACAAAAGCAAGCTTTAGCTTTATTTGTTCTGGAGATCTGAGGAATTAGTCATAAAAATATGTCTTGTCCCCGAAAGCGCTTAAATTGGTTTATTTTTTATTTTTTTTCCTACCAATATTTTTATAAAAGAACACTTTCTTTCACAGGCCCTTTAGATTTTTTCATTCCCTGGTTATCAATTTCTGATCTGGGCCCTATTGAAGCTATACATCAAATCAAATACACTACATTTTCCAGTAAGTAGCTTGAAAAAACAAAAAAAAAGATAGTGTTTTAGCACACTGAATCTGTTTGAGACAGACTACTTTTGCATGAATGTGTCCAATTTTTTTGTGTGCAAAATTCCACACAATAGTGCCACAGTATGCCCTCTATTCAGTGATTTGCCTCACATTTTTTAAAGGAAAGATGATACTTATCCATACTAAAAATAATTAATGGATGGCAACTGTACAAAAAAAATTCCTCAAAATGCATTCTGCTATATGCTTTGAGCAGTCAGCTCATAAAACGCAATAGGATGAGGAAAATTTCTTACTTGGAAAAATCCGTCGGAAGGAACATTTGTCAAAGTGGAAGCTTTAGATCTCATGGGACCTTTTTGTGGGATTTGTCCCAGGGTAAAGTCACCGTTGTGAAGTTGAGGTTAGGAAAAATATTGAGTTGGTCAGTAACAACATGAGCACCAAGTATGGTCCTTGCACTCCTTGTAGAGATATCTAAGATTAACGGAGAGAAAGAAGATGTGAAAGCAAATTATGTGATATTTTGTTGTTTACTCAAATGTTCACATTTTCATTCAAGTAATTCGTTTAATGGTTCATTGTGTTCAACCATTATCCTAATGCTGGTTGAGTACTCGGTTTCACCTGTTTATCTTCCTGCACAAATTTGTCGCAGCCCTGAGAGCCCTGTCCTGTGAAGATGGTAACTGCGAAAAATCCTTGAAGTTCCATTCTTGGAATTCGACCCCATGGTCAAATTCTATGAAAAGACCTAGGCTTGTGTAACTTTGTCCTAGAGAATCGTGCTGTCAAACTTTGCTCACAGGATTTTGGTTGGCCAGTTGATAGCGTGACCATATTCTTATCAGATTCTTTTTAAGACTTTTGTCCAATGAGGCAGTGATTTTTTTTTTTTTTCTACGCACAACTTTACAAAATGAGAACTCTTAAACTCATCAGAAATGCCAGTTTGGGGAATTGTAATTAAGTGTTTTGTGTGCATTTCTTGTAGTGTCTTGTTGTATTTGGGTAAATTGTAAATAGGTTTCTCCAAGGCAATTTTTTATGATCATTAGAATGTAAGTGCAATCAAAGAATCTGCGATAGTTCCAAATTGTTATGAGTTGTTGGCCAAAGGTGAGAAAATAGGTAACCGATGCCGAAATTATTCATGATAACCAAAAAGTTTCAGGCCTCTTTCACCCTTGTGATGATGGTGAAAAAATATAAATGTAAATCAAATGTGGCAAACATTTCTAACATTTTGACAATCAATATCTTTGTGTTTTTGACATGTAATGTTATCATCTCATGGACACAAGTGGTGAAAGTATGTCCTGTAATACTGACCGTTTGTTTTGTATTTTTAGCCTCGGTTACCTGTCTTCCATTTTTCTGTTTGAGATTATAGTATGTTTATAAGCTGCTTATCATGCAGCTATTGTTCAATTTTTAGAACTCATACCCTTTAAGTTGACACATTTATGCCTAAAGGGACTCAATGGTGCAAGCAAACTCTATGCTAATAGTTCCTTTTAGCATAATTACACTCAATTTGTCCCTCTGAAATTTCATTGTTATCTTAGATTGTTTTGGCCCCCGCCATTCATCAATTTGTCCTCTATTTTACATGAATTTTAATTTTAGTCATCATGAATAAACAAAATTTAATGATAGTGTACGTACTTAAAGTTTTTTTATGAAGATAATGAAAATACTCAGGCAAAAGTCAATCAGTTTCTGAACTGTTTGCACTTTTTCAGTAAGGATGAGGGTTTTTATACCATTTTATCAAACGAAGCATGTCCCTGCACAGAGGAGGGAACCCGAGATTTTTCATGTTTGTAATCGAATCGGTCAGTTACAAAAGGGCTCAAGCGCCAAAAATGAGAATTCAAGAAAAATGGTAATAACCGTTTTAATTGACCCCTTAAAAATCTAAGAGCTATAAAATATTAAAACGATGAATAGTTATCACATTATTAATTAATCTGCAATTTAAAATGGGTTGGTTCATGCAGTTTCTACTGTTTGTTTTGTATTTTTGTATCTGACACTTGAGCCCTTTGGTAACTGACCGATTTAATTGTGTTTTAATTTTACTTTGTATTATACAAGATGGGCCTGAAAATAATGTGTAAGTAATGAAAAAAGAAGTGTACTACATTTTACAATAAGGAGCTACAATTTCTGATTCATCCCTAAAAGCACCTATCTGCTTCAGAAAACTAATGACACATACCTCATTTTCAAAATGAACCAGGAATGGTAGTTCCCAATTACAAAATGTAGTCCAAGTAATGTGGTGCCCAAGGATTTTGCCCTGTTTAGTTGCCTGAAAAAGTCTGTCAAGTCTCTCTCAAATAATATTTTTGATATTCATGACATATTCATAATTTCTATTGCTTTCACCAGTTTATTGCTGTTGCTGCGCAATAATAATCCAACCAAAATTTGGCCTATCCCATCCTTCATTAAGAACAAGCTCTGTTTCCGAGACAGATCTTTAAGAGAGCTTTTGACCTATTGCGAGAGTTGTTGATATTACTCGCAACCCAGTCTGAATCAGATAATTTTATGTATATTTGTTTATTTTAGAGAGCAAATTTTTTTCTCAGTTAGATTTATCTGTCGCTGATCTTTTCCGAGGGATACATTTTAGGTAGGTATTTAAACACAAGAGTAGTCATCCCCAAGGTTCTTGTTGGTGGTGGTCATGACTATTTTGTAAATTCAACGATCAAAAAAGTATATGTATGGAATTTAACTTTTGTTAGTCGTGCACAAAATAAGTTGCCAAAATGTTCGCAAAAAATCATAGTTTACCTGTTGTTTTTTTGTCGAACTATTTGTTTTTCTTTTTGTCTAGAAAAAAATTGATGAAGCATCTATTTTTTGTCAGTCGTTTTTAGTATTGTTTTGCTCAAAAAGCCAACAAAATTAAACGCACTATGTTCAATTCTGCTCTTTTATTATTTTTCAAACTACCTCCTGAAATTTCTCATATTTTTAATTAAGTACAGCATCATTAACTAAAAATGAGCAATTTTCCCTCTTTTTAACAACTTTTTTTCAAATTAAGTCCAAAGGATCTTTGATCTCCAGGGTATGTGGAGGTGAAATTGTAAACCCAGAGGTTTAGGAGGGCCGGAAAATGTATTTTGTCTTGCTCTACGATCAGCGGTTTTGGAGTTCTTTGCAAATTTCTATTTTAAGATGGGCTAATTTTCATATTTGAAATGAAAGTAATGTCCACCTTGGCTCCTTGCGAACAAGAATTAAGACGTTAAATTTACTATCATTTCAAGTAATACAGTAGGGTGTTGCCTGCTGTCTTGGTTGATTAAAAGTGAACACATTTTTCCAATCCCAATACGAAAATAGACCAATTTTTAAGTAGGAATTAACTTGTAAATCAACAACTGTCAATTATAGAGTGGAACACTCGTGATTATGCCGCTTTCCAATAATTCTGGGTCTACTTTGGTCCCCCCCCCTCCCCTCCCTCATAGGCCCTGAGTGTCTGGATCCTTTGGACACATTTTTAAATGTTAAAATTATGATGATTAACACTTCGACTGCGTTTCTCAGAACGGAACCAAGATCAGCTATTGCCAAATTTAACGAACAACGAAAGAATACCGATTGTCCCTCTGCGATCGGGCTAAATTTGGCAGAGAGGTAGAAAAAGGAAATATAAGAACCCATATTTTTTATAGGCGCCAATGCCCAGCCGTTTTTGAGTTATGAATTTTTGAGGTAGCTGATTTGGTTTGCCGAGCGTCAGCGCATTTGACCCTTCGATTTTGACCCTAATTTATTCCATGTGACCCCTGTGATTTTTCTCGATTTTGTACAGGGGAAAAAATTTCGAGATTTCAGTCGCATCCTATCGAAGTTGGAGGCGTAGAGTCGATCCCGCACGGTCTCGACTATCGGCGAGGCTTCCTGCGCCGAGAATCAGTCAAAAACTAGTCCAAACCGAGGGTTTCTGACCACTTTTTGACTCTTTCTCTGGAGCGTTTTCAGCAGATAGCTCGAAGCGAGGGACTCGCGGTGCTTTTCCTACTTGAAAATCGCACTCAGCGGGTCAATTCCAAGCGAGCTTGCTTGCTTTCGGCGCGATCGGCGACCTTTCAATTTTGACCCTAAAAATTTAGTCCATGTAACCCATGTCGATTTTTCTCGATTTTGGACTGAGAAAAAAATTTCGATATTTCATTCGCATCCTACGTAGTTGGAGACGTAGAATCGATTCCGCACGGTCCCGACTCTCGGCGAGGCTTCCTGAGCAGAGACACAGTCAAAAACTGGTCAAAAACGAATGTTTCTGACCACTTTTTGACTCTTTCTCTGGAGCGTTTTCAGCGGATAGCTCAAAGCGAGGGACTCGCGGAGCTTTCCCGATTGGAAAATCGCACTCAGAGGGTCAATTCCAAGAGTGTTTACTTGGTTTCGGCCCGATCGGTGAACTTTCGATTTCGACCCTAAAAATTTAGTCCATGTAACCCCTGTCGATTTTTCTCGACTTTTGACGGGGAAAAAAATTTCGAGCTTTCAGTCGCATCCTACGTAGTTGGAGGTGTAGAATCGATATTCCGCACGGTCCCGACTCTCGGCGAGGTTTCCTGAGCCGAGAAAAAGTAAAAAAACTGATCCAAAACTAGTTTTTCTGACAACTTTTTGACGCTTTCTCTGGAGCGTTTTCATCGGAAAGCTCGAAGCGAGGGACTCGCAGAGCTTTCCCGACTGGAAAATCCGCCGAATGAAAAAGGCCACTGCGCATGAAGGCTATTTTCATTGTAATTTTCCGTAGCATTTCTAAGGCGCAATGATAAAAAATCTTGGCTAGTGCTATTTTCGAAATACGCGCTTTGAAATTTTCAAAGTAAATGCAACTTTTCTACTGATCTTGATCCACTTTTTATTTATTTGTACATTGAATCGGTGTTGATCGGTTCACGTTTTTATTTTTCGTTCGAATCAAGTCGATCGAATACATGCCCTCTCTTTACACGCACACTTCCTCTCATACTACGTAGCCTCCAACTACGTAGGATGCGACTGAAATCTCGAATATTTTTCTCCGACCCAAATCGAGAAAAATCGACACGGATAACATGGACTAAATTTTTCGGGTCGAAATCGAAATTTCGCCGATAGGGTCGGAACCAAGTAAGCTCGCTTGGAATTGACCCTTGACCGATTTCTGTATCGAATGTGAGG